GTTTTAAACGTTCAATATCAGAAGTCTCCGTGTGACCCGCGCTTGTCGTCTCACTATGTCTAAAAGGAGGGGCCTATCCTTGGAAGAAAAGCGACAGAAAATGATGGAGTTTTTCTATGAGAAGGTATTTTTAGATTTACTTATGTCAATACTGCAGTCGGATTTTTTCACACTTAAAGAATTGGAACGACTCTGCCAAAAAGAGAAGGGCATACCATCAATGACAGTAAAAGATGTGCTGATGAGTCTAGTTTATGATAGCATGGTTGACACCGATAAAATTGGCACATCTGTTTATTTTTGGGCTTTTCCGAGTAAAGCGGCTCAAAATGTATGTTCTTTTTGCAACCTAGGCAACTTATGTATAGAGACGGAAAAAGATAGAAGAATTGCGAAATGATGTAGGGAAAGCGACTTCTCGCCTTCGTACGTTAACCGACTGCCTTTCTGAGTCCCGGATCGGCAAAGAGGAAACGGTATTTGTTTAGGTTTCATTAATCTTAAATGCAGGCAGAAAGAAACGAAGCACTTGCTTTATTGTGCGCAAATAAAGAATCGCTGGAAAAGCTTAGTGCGAAACTGGCAGCGCTGAAGAAATTCCATCCAAGTCGGTTGAACGAATTGAACGCAAAAACAGAACAAGCTGTAGAGTCCGTCAATCGGTGGACTGGTAAGCTTCCTTTCGACTATGCGTGCCGCTCGCAATACATGGTACACGTTTTCTGAAAATACAATGTGTTTTTTTTTCTAACACTTATCCGCTACTTAAGAAATCAGAATCCTCTAAGTACGGTATGCTGATTTGTTTTCAGGTTACACTGCTTATTTGTGACTTTGTTGGCATTCAGATGTTGCCGTATACGATTAATAACGAATTATTACAAAGAACAGACGACAGATTTATCTGTTCATGAGCTGAACCTTACCTTATGTGCCGGAACGTAGTCGGTTTCGGTGGTTCACTGGCCAGTGCCATTTAATTCACCCTTTTCATTTACTTCCTGTCTTATGAAGATATCTATCTCCTATTTCAGATGACATGTACGTGTTTTGGCTTATCCCACGATATATTCTGTTTTTTTTACTTTTTAGATAATATTTTCCAGTTAAAATCCTGGCTTCGCGATAAATTTGGCGTTGATGAAGACGTTCTTTCAAAACAGTTTCGTATTCCAGAAGATTTTGATTACTATGAGATGTGACTTTTCATCAACTTTTCTGTTTTTATTTTCTAACACAATATGCTGTACAAGTGAAATAAAAAATCTTAAAAAATAATTGGCAGCTAATTTTGGCTTGTTGTATTTGTTGCTGGAGTTCCCCGTCGCTGTAATGTTTTGTGATCTTCAGCTAGGGTGACTCTTAGTTGTTTTACCATATAAAACAAGGATTCGAGCTTGCCCGGCCCGCCTGGACTAATCGATAGATGGATAGAAACCTCTCGCTCCTAAGAACGGTCAGGTAAACAATACTTGCAAACAGAACGCATCTAAAACAAGATCGACAAAATTTTTAGGAAGCCACGAGACAATAATGCTGATACATTAAATACACTAGTTTAGTTTTCCGTCCAAGGCTGACAATTTTGGGTCAACAGAACTCAGCTATCAATAAAAGTCGGCTACATGTTCAAAAAGGCCACGAATATTTGTATGCAAGTCAGGCAACTATTTTATTTTTGGATAAATAGGAGAGAAGAAGCCTGCTCGATCACTAGAACGATTTCATCACCCATTTGAGCTTTCTAATTGTTACTAGATTCCATCATCAACGAGAAAGGCGGCAACAAGACGAGTAGCAGTTGTAGGGATAGGAGAGAATCAAACTTCAGCCCGGAGGTGATTTCGCTGGGTTATGTATGCCGACAACAGGTCGATCAACTGAGATCTCATGGAAGGCCTTGATGTCAATTGATTCGCGGTTTGTCTTTTTTCTTGCGTGGGCGATTATCTTCATTTGAAGAGTGCTCTCACAATTTAGTTTGTGAGCCACCGGGTGGTTGCTGTGAAAATTGAGAGGCTGCGTGGTATTCGTTGGTTCCCCGTAGACAATTGTTTCGATTTTACCGTTGCAACTTCGCCTGATTAACACATCGAGGAAAGGTATTTGTTGCTTTTTTATTTTCCCTGTGGATTCAACATCCGGGACGATTTATTGACACGATTATGGAAGCTCTGCGCCATCTTACTTTTGACGATAAGAACAGTGCCGTCCACATAAGGGCGCCAAAAGCTCGGCGGCTGCTGATGAAGACAGTCTTTTCCAGCTCATAGGATAAATTCTGACAACGGAGATTGGGAAACCCATTGGAGTCTTTTTGATCTGCTAATGGGTTAATCCTGCAAAAATGAATTAGAA